TACACTTTTTATGAAATTATTAATATATTATATTATTTTATTACTTTACCTGCAAAGTGACCCGCTTAGCAGGTCACCAATGTGTAAACTTTCAAAAAATGTCGTATAACCCAATACATAAAAGGTGTAAATGTAAAATAGAAAGAGTCTAAATGCCTTGCATACCATATGCAAGGCACACCTAAAAAAAGTCCGATATGTATACATAAAAAAGAATGATAAAGCAAGAAATGATAACTTGCAAAGAGTTAACCTAACTGGTCAGTGGTACGTTTTCATATGCATATGCCTAACTTATGTCCACTTTAGCAAATCTCTCTCATTAGCCTGAATTATGTGATTAGAGATGTCATTTTATTCTCAATTTTACGCCTTTAAAGTGAGCCCAAAAAATACCGAGAACACAGTTCAAGTTATAAAATAATTTTTTTTTTATTTTAAAATGGCATGATAAAGCTATAAATGATAATACCTATGGAGATGATGAGAAGGCTTAGTTTACAATAAAATGCCTCAGCTAATAGAAGGCATCACATGTTATCATGCCCATCATGGATAAAATGATAATTCACACTGTTTGGTTTTTAATTTTTAAAAATTTTAATTCTTATTTTTATATTTTTGATGATTTTTTAAAATATTTTCATCAATTTTTTTTTATAATTTTTAAATTCACTTAATCTTAATATAATTAAAAAGTAAAAAATCTATACAAAAATGAATACAACAAAATACAAAAATGTATTGAATTTTTATTTATTTTTTAATTTATTTTAAAGTTTTTTTTTATACAAATATTATATTTTTAAGCGTATTTACATTAGGTATGTCTAAAAAAATAAAAAAATTTCCATAAAATATTAAAAAAAAAATCACTAAAAACAAAATAATACAAAAAAATAAAAACTCAATTTTTTGAAAAGTATACTCAATTTTTTGAAAAGTATACTCAATTTTTTGAAACCATGGTAAATGGTTTTTTGCTAAATGCATATCAATTAATGGTCTCATTAAAAAGCAGTGGAACATAAAGAAATGTTATAAGTCCTAAATTTTCCTACCAAATAAGTGACTAAATGTCTCAAATTAGTGTAGGGTCCACAAAATGTGGGCCCCATACCCATGTGAGACATTTAGTAAAAAAATTTGTATCTCTAACATTACCCGAACATAAAATGAGATGTGGTAATGGTTGGAAGATTTGGTTCATTTTAGCATTAATTTCTAATCAAAATATTGCATTATTTCAAGGCTTTCATACTCAAAACAGTAACAATAATTATTTACCAAATTCAACCAATTAACTTTTAAAGTTTCAACTTTGAGTCATCTCAATTAAAGTTTGTCAAGTCATTAATTTTAGGATTTCAAAATTAGTTGAAATGTGCACAAGCTAAATTAGGTCTCTGGTTTTTTTTTTTTTTTTAAAAAGGCTAAATAATAGTTACTAGGTGGTTCAATTAATCAAAATAATTAAAATGTCTAATTTAAGTTCGAGATGTCTAATTAAAATGTCTAATTTAGTTACTAGGTGGTTCAATTAAAATGTCTAATCAAAATAATACTAGATGTTCTTAGAAGTCATAGATTAAGCATTTTCATACTCTCTCTTTTTTCTTTTTTTTTTATTTTGTTGACATTTTGTGTAATAGCAAATTACTAATTATGAAACGACCATGAATGATGCTTTTGTTTCCTTGTTTTGATCATCTTTAGAACAGTTTATTAAAAGTTAATAATTAGGGTGTTACAAAAATAGAATCTAAAAGCATTTTTTACATTTTTTCAATGATTAATTTTTTTAATTTATTTATTAAAAAAAACTGCAGCAAAGTACAAAGTTGCAAAAAAAATAAAAGTAAACACAATCTACCAAACAAGATCTATATCCTATATATTTTCTGGAAGCTATAACAGCTCATTAATGAATTAATCTTTTTCTTTGGTTAAGTTCATTAATGAATCTGTCACATAATAAAAGGTAAACATTAAACAAAAATCTGTTTTTTTTTGTTTTTTTCTTTGTAACAACCAAATCTAGCAAAATCCTAATAAATATTTCAATTGTATGTTCTTTTTACCGCCAAATTAGAGAGACCACCAAACTAAATTTAATTAGGGCAACCTAATGTTTGAAAAAAATATAATTAGTTTCATATTTTTGACATAATTACATTAATCTCTCCTAAGATTTTAATTCATCTAATAATTAGGTTCTTTTTCATTAATAATTTGTAAGACGTATGAATGAAAAGAATTGTATTGTCAATTTTTTTAATATAATATATATTTGTTAGCTACATATTTTGTATAAGCCAATTACAATTCAACACGTGCCAAAATAAGGGAAATACGGGAAAACTATTCAAGTTTCAATCATGATCGAACACGTGGCAGTCTGTTTTGGTTTTACGAGATCTGCGTAGTATTGGATCAATAAAGATATATAAAGTGATGTTGCTTCAACGGTTATTCACATTCAAATTCAAAATTAGGGGGGAAGCCTAACTGTAAGTGATGGCATAGTGGAGCTAACTATAAGGTAACATGATCGGCGATCATGGAGGAGCGATTCGACGGTTGGAAGTGCAGTTCGATGGTCATCCTTGAAAAGTATAAATAGCAGAGAAGGCCCCAGAAAAAACCTTAGACTCAGATCCAAAAAGCCAGTTTTATTCTACTTTATTTTATTTCCAGTTTTTACATTTCCTGTTCTTTACATTTTTGTACTTTAATTCCTGCATTGCACTTCGTTCATAGGAGTAGTTTCAAGTAGATTGTTGCTGTAAACCTCTACGAGGCTGAATTGGATCATTTTAAGTTTTCATTTAATGAAATGCTTCAATTGCTCTTCATTTGATTGTCATTTGCTTAATTCTCCTAAATCAAGCCACCAGTAAAAGTCATCTTCATTGAGGCTGAAAGAATTAAAATACTATTGTCTGATAATTGATTAGTAATTAATTTTTTGTAAGGACTGATTGATCCTTGTTGATACGCTCATAATTACAATAATAACCTTCGAAAGTCAAAAAGCCAACATATATTTATATTTATTTATCTTAGTACTTAGCCACTATCTGTATTGTTTTAATAAAAAGAAGGTCAATGTAATTATATCAAAAGTGTGGAGTTAGTTATATTTTTTCCAAATCTCGTGGGAGATGAGTGTATTTTATTCATTTAATTAATATATAATTTTAGGATAAATTGCAAATATAATTAATCTCCTGTAAGGATTGATTGATCCTTGTTGGCACGCTCATAATTACAATAATAACCTTCGAAAGACAAAAAGCCAACATATATTTATATTTATTTATCTTAGTACTTAGCCACTATCTGTATTGTTTTAATAAAAAGAAGGTCAATGTAATTATATCAAAAGTGTGGAGCTAGTTATATTTTTTCCAAATCTCGTGGGAGATGATTGTATTTTATTCATTTAATTAATATATAATTTTAGGATAAATTGTAAATATAATTAATCTCACACTTTTGACATAATTACATTGACTTCCTTTTTAAAAATATTTTTTTTAATAGTCTTTTTAGTATGATTAAAGTAACCAAAAATAAGCCAGATGATGAGTAAATATTAAAGAGATCATAACATCATTTTTTTATTATTAAAATTAATAAATTACTAATAAAAAAGAATCTAACTGTTATGTAAATTAAAATTTCAAGTGAAACTAATTTAATTATGTAAAAAATATAAAATTAACTATATTTTTTTCAAATCATAAAAGTGAGTGTAATTTAGGAGAGATTTGAGAAGTTGGTTAAAAGCTGACGTTTTGAATGTTTTTGGCTTTTTTTGTCTTTTTGTGTATAAAAAATAGGGTAAACTATCAATAGGTCCTAATAATTTAACTTAATTTTCATCAAATCCTATTGAAAATAAGCCTTGGTAAAACCATCGCTAAAAATAATTTGTTTGTGATGATTTTTTACATGTCACTAAAAATTAATAATTAGTGATTTTTTTTGGCATGATTTTTATAAATTGTCACTAAAACTTACAATTAGTGACATTTTTCTGTGACGGATTTTTTAAATTGTCACTAAAAGTTGTGAATTAGTAACATTTTTTTTAACTGTTGCTAAAACTTATAATTTGTTATATTTTTTGTGACAGTGACTTTTTTTAATAGTGTTTAATGAAAAATGTCACTAATTATCATAGGATCTATTAGATAATAAATTCACTTATTAGGACTTACACGTAAGTCTCCTTAAAAAATATGAGAAATAATATAACCCAAAAAAGTAATGCTAGATGTTCTAAAAATTCTATCAAAAATTTTACCAAATATCTTATATAGATGCGGGTCTCATGTAGGTCCAACACCTACGTGAAACATTTAATAAAACTTTTGGTAGAATTTTTCAAACATCCAAGCATTTTTTATGGAATAAATCCTAACCTAGCTGCTGTGTTCTCCACGTGGCAAATGATGACATCTTCAGTCCACAGTCAAAAGACTTCTTTTTGAAAACAAACTTTTTTTTTCTTTTTTTTTCTTTTTTTTCTTTTTTTTTAGAAATGTTAAGTATCATGAAAAAAAAATTTGTGATCCTTACATTACCTTAATTAGTGTGTGGTGCTTTATTATAAGTGTAATTCAAAGGTCATAAAATTTTCATAATTATTTTCATAAAAGGCTTTTCATGATATTTACCATTGCTTATTCAGTGATTTAAATCCCCTCAACTTCAACTCCCACCACCACACACACGTGACAGGGGTGATTGTTGAAAAAAAAATAAATAAATAAATAAATGGCCAATCTAACAAAAAAAAAAAAATCAAAATGGGTGAGCGGAAAGGGTCCCAATCTTTATTATTTTTTTATTGGCTTTTGTTAAACAAAACCACCTTCACTCTCTCACCTCCGAATTCCGTGGTGAGACTATATATATACATGATACTGTGAATCTAAAAAATTAGATTCTTGAAGTGGTTTTTTTTTCTTTGTTTTTTTTGTGTGCGCGAATGAATTGGGTTTTGAGATAGAAAGAAATTAGATAATCATTATTTTCCTCCTAATGGTTCAAGAGCTTAATATTGGTTCTAATGAAGCTATGTTCAATGGTGGTTTCTTTGATTCTTCCGAACAATTTCATAACTCAGTAGTAGATCCAATAACCAATAATAATGTTGTTTCTGGGTTTCCGAGCTCTGATTTCAAGAGAATCAAACTTTCCTCTGAGTCCAACCAACCGGTATTATATCATTTTGATCTCTGTTTCTGCAAATATACAATATTTTAGTGTTTATGTGAGGTAGGAGTGTTGAGATTTATGTGTCTAGTATTGCTTTCATCTCCAAAATATTTCGTTTTTGTTTGTTTTTCATGTTTTTTAAAACAAAAACACGGTCAAAAGTGTTTTCCTCAAACAGGGTGTTGTCAGAAAATAGTTTCCGAAAATAGTTTCAGCCATTTTTTTTTTTTTTTCCGTTTAACTTTTTGTTTTTAATTGAAATTTCTGAGTTTTTAATTGAAATTTCAGTGTTTCTAGTGAATGAAACATTCTTTAATTAGTTTTTTTATTTTTTATTTATTTACTTTCGATTCCAATCCGCAATTGTGCATTCATGAGCTCTCACTTTTGCTTTTCAACCTCTCTTATTCATTGCTTTCCATTTTCTTTTTTCTTTTTAATCTGAAAAATGTGAGGTTTAACTTGCTTATATGGTTTTGTTGCATTTGTTTTCGGCCATTGCATAGTAATTCTTGTCACACATTTTCTCATGCCCAAATTTCCCATATGAAATTGTCTAAGTTTTTTTTATTTTAAATTTTGATTTTTTTCCCTTCCATCTACCTTCAATTTTTTAGATGATGGTTACTAACTGTCTTTTTACACATATATTGCATGTGTATGTAGCTTTGTAGTGACTATTTTATTATATAAATCACAAAACTATTTTGATGTGAATCTTTAATTTAAAATTTTAATTTCCAAAAAATGACGATGGAATTACCAATGAAATAAATAAACATGTCGCATTCTAGTTAGTTTTCAAAGTCAACTCATATTTCTCACTTTAAAAACTGTCCAAAATTTAGATATAAAATTGCACACGCATTGCGAGTGCATTTGCTGCTAGCATGTATATGTATATTACGCTTCAATACCTCCCATTGCTTAGTTTAGTTTTTTTTTTTTTTTTTTTTTTTTTTTTTTGGGGGGGGGGGGTTGTTAGGAATTGGATTTTCACACTTGTGGAGAAGCAAGTCCTCTTGGTTTGACATTGAAGAAGACACCATCTTTTCTCAACTTGGTAGAGATGACCTTATCTCACTCAAGGAGCAAAAACTGCTCAACTGGGACACATCACACATCGTCGATTCAAGAACATTGTCGAGCAAAGAAGAATGCTTTTGTGTCTCAACCGATGTCTGAGAAGTTGAAGGCCTCAAACTTCCCTGCATTGTTGCTCAAAATTGGCTCATGGGAGGTAAGAATATTTGATACTAGCATTTTCATTTTCAAAAACTTTGTTTTCAGTTTTTGTTTACCGCGTTTTCAGTAACAAAAACAATATAACAAAAAAAATTAAAAGGTTACAGTTTTTGAAAATTCAAAAACAGCTTAAAAATTTCCTAAAAAGTGGAGTGTTTTCAAGAAAATTTACCAAATTCAATTTGTAGAAACAGTTTGTAAAACAAATTTTTTTTGGGTGTGTCAGTTTCATTTTCTCTGTTTTCCAGAATGAAAGGCAACCCTCAAACTCAAAAGATGAAAACAATAATAATAATTTGACTTAATTCATGAAATACAAAGAAATGACTAAAAATTATTGAAATTGTTGCAGAGAAAATCTTTGCACGAAGGCGATTTGGTAGCAAAGTGTTATTATGCCAAGAAGAAAATTGTGTGGGAAGTTTTAGAGGGGGCTTTGAAGAGTAAGATCGAAATACAATGGTCTGATATTGAAGCAATTAGAGCCATTATTCGCGATGATGAGCCAGGAATTTTGGAAATTGAGGTCAGTGAATTTTATTCCTACTCTTCTAAATTATGACATTTAAGTTTAATTCTTAGTGAAATTTTTATTCAATTTTTTTGGTGAATTATGTGCAGTTAAACCAACAACCTCAGTTCTTCAAAGAGACAAATCCGCAGCCACGGAAGCATACACTTTGGCAACAGGCGATGGACTTTACTGGAGGTCAAGCCCCCATTTACAGGTTTGAAATAATCTTTCCTTTTTCGCTCCTTCCTATCAGTCTAGCAAAATAATAAATAACAAATTTAGCTTGAATAAAATATTATATAAACAAAATCTTAATTGAAATTAAGAATAATAGCATGTGAGATTCTGCATTTCCTCAAAGGTGTCAACGGAGTAAACAATTTCAAGATAAAACTCAATTTGCTCACACTGTCGCTCATCTAATGTTCATTACTGTCTTTTGATTGAATGAACTAGAGTTTCCAAATCATTCCACTATTTCGAATAATTTCATCTATATTTCTTTTGCTTTTCTGTTTTATTGAATTTCTTTACTTGTCTTCCTGTTTGGGAGACAAGAAACTGTTTGTGAGATTGCTAACAAACAGGCTCAGGTGGTTTCAGTCAATTTTTAGGTCAGCTGATGCAAAATATCAGTTCATTTCTAAAAATAGTTTTTTTGCCATAGCAAACTGTTGTCGGTATCTTCAAACACATCTAAAAATGGTAGTGCTTTACATTTTGATTACTTCCATCAGATACAGACAATCTTGTAGATTTACCGTTTCAAATTTAAGCACTACCATTTTAATGAGTTGTGACTCACAAAACATTCATTTATAGTACATTAGTTGTCACATTTAACTTGTACATACAAGTGTATGCACATACATGTGGCACAATTAACGCAATGATTTTTTTTTTCTTTTTTGGTAGGAGACATTACATCAAATTTCCTCCAGGAACGCTTGACAAACACTATGAGAAACTTTTGCAATGCGACAAACGATTGTTAGAACTCAGCCAAAAACCTTTCCCAAGGATGGAATCTCCTTTTTTCTACTCAAACATCTATGAGGTTACCGACATCCCTTTTGATTTCACTGTGCGTCGATCACAATTCCCTTCCACGTTGCAACATTGTTTTTCAACTATTCTTACATCTTTAGTTCCTGCCCATCCGATTCAAAATTTCAAGCTAACAACCAGACAACCCTTTGGCATTATGGACTCAAATTCACTAATGTCAGGTATACGATTTAGTCTTTTGAATTGAACCTTAAAAAAACTATTTGTGTTGATTTCTTTTCATCAAGTGTGTTTTTGTGATAACCAGTTATGGATTTTCCACGCACATATGAGAACGTTAATGGGTACACGTTTGATAATTGAAGGATGGTACATTAGGGTCAACAAGGAAACAATGTCGAAAATGTTTTAGCAAGGGAAGATCAAATACAAGCCAATGCCAATGCTGCCTTTTCTTGTCAAGGATATCCAAACACTGGGTTACTTGGTGACATCAAAAACCATTTTCTAGGTGACTCACAAAATGTATGCTCCAATGAGAGAACGCTCCTTGCCAGAGTGAGTTCAATGTGTTCATTGCTCGATCCATTTGAGGTGGAAAATCCCCAAAACGACGATTCCATGAATCAATTGGAGTATAAACAAGGAAAATTTAGTGATGATCACTTAATTTTGGGTACAACCGAGCATTCTGGAGTAGATGGCGGGCTATGCTACCCACAACCCATTTGTTGCTTGGCTCCACGAGTTTCTGACGAGAGCCATATGACGCATCTTCCGAGGGACAATTCATCGTATCCGTATGATTTCTATCATCCCGAGGTGAATGATTATGGATTTGTTGACACTGGCCACGACGTCCACCAATAGGCGTGATGTGGCGCAAAAATGAGTAAAGTCGTGGACGTAGCAAGGAGATGTGTGAGCTAATGTTATTACACCATCACTTGTTTGTTTCATGACTACACATTTTGTATATAGGCAATAAAAATAATCCCCCAATTTTATCTAGTGAATAGGGTTTCAGTTTTTTTTTCTTTTTTTTATATTAAATTTCCATTCTTGGTTATGTTAGAAGAAAAATTTCAGAGTTTGTTGATCATTTTCTATAGGGGAAGGGGGATATTTTGATTATCTCCCTATTATCAAGTTTTCAAGAATGTTTCAAACTCCCATATCTGCTTAAACAAGCAAAAAACCACCCACCCTTCCTTTGTCTCTATTTTTGACTGTTTTTGTGAAATTGTTTTGTCTCGAGCCCCACTCACCCTTGTGATTGTTTCTATGTAATTCTTTCTGTGCAAGTATACTTTGTGTTATTGAGATTTCAATTTCGTATAGTTGCTTATTTCTTCAAATTAAATATGTAACAACAAAAATGTCTAAACATTATTAACCTTGGCTCTCAGAAAAACATATGGTCAAAACCTTCAAGATTTGACAAACAAAAATGATTTCTACAATGGCTACAATTGACTCTTCTTTCTTTTTTTGCCAGCACACAATGGCTACAATTGATTTTCACAGTGCACATTTTATGACACAGCTTAGATTTGTGTATGTAATTGTCATGTTTAAAACGTTGTGCTCTATGTGCACTTCATTTCAAAAATGAGCCCTCCAATATTCAATCAAATCAATGTTTGTGGCGTGATGATTATCTTTCTTGAAACAACTTGTACTTAGATGCTCTGTTTTTAACTCTGAGAAATTTAAACTGTAACGAAGTGTACATATTTAGCGATCTCAAAGAAACTTGTCATCCTGAGTGCCCTCAGCAGCTTTGTCCGCTGTTTTGAATGCCTAGGGGCGAAAAAGAAACCAAGCTATTTGAACTTGAATTGTGTTGGACTAGTTAAAAACTTGTTCAAGATATCAACCTTAAGAGCTCGGCTTGTTATGCAAAGCAATCAAGCTTAAACGAACTAGAGTTTGACTAGTGCTCCGCTTGTTAGAAACTTATTCTAACAAAAGTGATAGCCCAAGTCTCATCTGAAGCAAAACAGTTACTTGCATCGAGAAGAGAGGTTAATAATGGATGTATTCACTCGTAAACAACAATTCTACATATGGCTACCAATGCAGAAAGCTTATATGCGAAATTTGGGCTGGAGACTTCTTGTTACTGCTTGTTGCTTTTACACTTCATTGACACAACCATTAATTCATCAAATTCTTTAGCCGTCGAATTTCTGAACTTTTGGTAGTTTTGGTGAAGTGTATTGAGTCTAAGTGTCGCTGCTCAAGTTTTAGTAAAACATAACTTTGAAAGTCATTCGTGTCATAAAATTTAACAATCTAAAAAACCCATCATATTAGATAATTCCATAAACTGATGCCGATGTTCTAAGCAGACCTGGTATACTCTTTATAATATGGGAGAAAAAAAAAATCAGAACTATGATCAAGCTCAATGAATCAAAGACTCATGTTTCTGCATTATGCAGTGAAGTTTAACTAAGCTTTGCAACATGGCCAGAAGACAATGCTTGCAACTTGAACTGCTCCAGCTTCAACATTAATCTTTGTTGAGATCCAATTCTCCTTTTGCTCTGAGTTCCTATGTTCAAAGGAGAAGACAATCGAGATCTTTAAATCAGTGAAATGCTCTTTTAAACTGTTCTTTCAATGTACCAGCTGATCACATCCATTTTACTAATGACGGATCAATTAAAAGCCAGCTCATGCACTAGAATCTTGCCTGGAAAAGTCAACAAGATATGAAGAAAATAAGTACCACACAGATGTGTTTGTCAACAAATGACAAGAAAACATATTTCAAATCATGGAAGACATTCCACAAATCAGGCAGGGCACTCACCTGAGAACTGATACATTGTAAAAATCATTGAAACTTGAGAGTGCGATGCGAAAGGCATCGCCCTTGCCGTAAGCTCTCCTCAAGGACTGCACTGAGAGAGAGATAGGGCAAAACAACAAGATGCAGAGAACTTGACATACTCCCATTGAAGGCAACAATTGTGCAAATCCCCACAGGTTGATGATCAGGAAGCTATTGATATTTCCTTTCAAACCTTGGCAGAAAGCAAGAAGTCTTGTTGCAGTATAGACGATCAGATTTTGCGTTTCAGGGAACAAATATAAGAGGATACAACCCATGTTGCAGAGAGAGATAGACTTCTCTCATGCTTTCACATTGATCAGAAATTAATATCAATCCCTTATGACACAATCAATTCGAGTTTTGCCACTAGCAATTAGCTCAAGTGGTATATCTGGCCGCCCTGTAACACAAAGATGTGGGTTCCATTCCAAGTCCCAATTGGGACACAATTGCAGCATCTTACTTACTGAAGGAAAGGGGGAGACAGAAGAACACTTTCTGAGAAATTTTATATTAAGATTATAGATTAAGCACCTACAAATATCTGATCAAGTAACATTTGGAGTGCATAACAAGCTTGATAAACTAAAGTATAACAGTTGATTTGGCAAAATGTTAGTTTCATTAGAAGTTGTATGGGTGAATAACACAAGCTATTCCTACACGTAAAATTGATCCTAGCGGTCTTGAGTAAATTGAGGCCACCCCAAACCTCGGGGTTAAGAAGGGTGGTGAGTCCTGTGTTTGAAGAAGATTTGATGAAACACCACTTCCGGCACAAAAAAGGCACAAAGACCATCAATCAAGATCGTAAAGACTCTCTGCTGGGAACTCCAAGCATCGATGAAGTCCTTGAAGCAACCCAAAAAAAGACAAAGCACCTTTTATTGCTGTAATCAGTTTAATGCATCCAACAAAGAGGTTATAGAAGATAAAGTTCATAAACTTCGGCTACCAACCAAGCTCACTTGTAGGCAGGTCCCCAACTTTTTGGCTCTTGTCAAAATCACCGAGCTCATGGAAGGCTGGGCTTATGTTGTCATACACTTGGCTGAGGCACTTCACTAGAATCTTCTGGCACGGCTGGAGGTTTGCTACTTCCACTTGCACCTTCATATGCTCCCTCTTCATAGCTCATCTCATCAAATTTTCTTTTCTTTAGTGGAGAGACCAAATTCTCCTTCCCATTTTCTATCTCTTTTCCTTTCCCTTTCTCATTCTCTTTCTCTTTCTCTGATTGGGTTTCAACATTTAGCGGAAACAAAGGAGGCTCACGGCCACTTAATCGACAGAATACCCTTTCAACTGTTTCACTTATTTCCTTCCCCAGCCCATTGCTGTCCAGAATCAAATCCCAAACTGATTTAGAGGCTTTCTCAAGCACTGAAGTCCTGCAGGGCACCAACAAGGTATGGGGAAAAATGAAGTCAAATTAAAGTGCTTGCCAATAAAATGTCAGAGAAATAGGTTTAATGATTACATCATGAGAATGTAATGTACTGCAGTACAATACATAATGAACACCTAATGCATGCAACCACAATTGATAGTTACTATAATCAAATCAAACAGTTCTCCAGAAACAAGTGCACAAGAACTAATGCAAGGAACTCTATTTGGCAGAGTAAAACTTACAGAACTGAGATAAAGGTATTTTTTTTGGTAACGATAACAATTTACCATTTTTTGTTTTCAAAAAGGAAACATGTCTATTAACAAAAAACATGTTTGATAAACAAACAGGGTAAAAGGAGGGTGGGGAGTTGCCAGAGGTGGTGGCTGATGCGTAGGGAATTGCCACAAGTGGTAAGTGATGGTTGCGGATGGTCAGAAGTAGTAGCCACTAGGCGGGAGTGGTCGAAGGTGGTGGCCGCCAAGAAAGAGTGGGGGAGGGAGAAGGCACGAGAGAATACAAACTTGTTTTCAAAACAAGTTGAAAATTATTTACATATTTTTGAAACGAAAAACATTTGTCAAAAATCTTTTTGATTGGAGTTTACATATTTTTTGAAAACATAAACAAAAAACAGTTAAGGGCTTGTTTTGTAACGTTTATATTTATAATTTTCCATTTATATTTACAAAAATTTTAAAAACTTTAAACAAAAACTCGTTTGGTATCTATTTTTGTTTTCTAAAATTTGTAAACATTATACAAATTTTACTAAATTTTGTAACAATAAAAAAGTTAGTTTCACTTATTTTTGAAAAAAACAAAAGCTTTCATTCTCCCACCTCCTCGGACCACCACCCACTACTCATAACCACTATCGGGCACCTCCACCTCTGGCCACCATCGCCACTGACCTCTTATGAATATCAACACCAGCCACCACCTTTGATTGCTGACGACCATCTTCAACCTTCGACAATCACCACCTCATGTGGTTGGCAACCACCACCAACCATCTCCAGTGGCCTATGAAGCGTGAGTGCAGGTATAAGTATTGATACTGATACGATACGGGTTCATCGATACGGTAAAATTATATATAAAAAATTTTTAAAAAAAAATAGGGTACGGGTACGGGTACGGCTTCGTTCACTTGTAAAAAAATATTCATTTTTAATTTATAGTAATGCAAAAATTTATTAAATGGTTTAATTTATTAAGGTCCAACCTACAATTAATATTTAATACCAAAAGTAAAGATATAAATCAAAATTAAATGTCAATATATTAAATAACTTACAAATCATAGTTTAATTTAAAATCATGCTAAGTGTAAAACAAAAAATTAAAAAAAAAAAATCTAGTGAAAGGAGTTTTATCTCTATAGTAGAAGATTATATTGTTTCAACTGAGGTATGGTACGGTGTGGTATGGTTTGGGTATTTACTAGGTACATCTAAGTATGCGAAAAATTAAGAAGAAAAAATTTTAGTACGTATTTCGAGTACCCGGTACATATGCAAAAGTACTATACGAGGTATCATATACTGGTAAGTACCTGGTACAGGTACGGCATATTTTTCGAAGTACCCATGCTTTATAGCCAGTGGCCCAGTGTTTTTAAAGGCTCAAGGCGCACTAAGGCGCCGAAGGTCTCTTGGAGCCTAAGCGCAAGGCGAGGCGCGGGCTTTATTGAAGTAAGGCGCACAGTATTCGCAAAAAATAGAAAAATTAATATAGACTAATCATTCATAGTACTATTACAATTTTTTAAAAAATAAAAAGTAATCAAGATTCAAGACAAAATATAGAATAATTCTCAAAGTCATGAAAGTGCATATTACATAACATTTCAATTTTCAAAGATCAAATAATCCACATTCAATAAAATAAAAACATAAACACTAAACATCTAAAACATAAATATCCAACAAATACTAATATATGTCTTAACACTTAAAAACATCAATATCAAAAGAAAGGGTAGGTTAGGTCGGTGTCAGTCAATCATCATCCTCAACATCAATGGCAAGCAAACTATCATCTTCTTCTACATCAGTTGATTTGTATCCCTCAACATCTTCCTCCTCTGTGTCATCTGAGCCCGCTTCCTCTTCATCTATTAATTGAAGTGAGTCAATGTTGATGATTTAGATATCCTCGGTTGTGCCTTTGAGCGTGAACTTGTTGCTCTACTTGCATGGCTACTTTCTTCTACTCCAGATTAAGAAAATAAAATTTAGTTAAAATCAAATATTTCTTTTGAATAATTTCATTTAGTAGATATTAATTTCACTAAATATAACTTGCATGGAAAAATTTTAATTTTTTTACACTTGAAATTTTTAACTAAAAGTAAAATTTATTGACAAGACACATGAAAAAGGTTGAGGTCTTCATTGGGGCTTCTCCATCACAAGGGGCTTTTGTGAAAGGTAGACAGATTTTAGATGTGGCTTTGGTGGCAAATGAGGTGGTGGAGGAATATAGGAGTTTAGGGAAGGAGGGGATTGTCTTTAAGATAGATTTTGAGAAAGCATATGATCACGTGGATTGGCAATTTCTAGATTTTGCAATGGGAATGAAAAGTTATCGTGAGAGATGGAGATCATGGGTTAGGGGGTGTTTAGCGACTTGTAACATGTCGGTGATAGTCAATGGTAAGCTAGGGTAGAGCTTTAAGGCTTCGCGAGGACTCAGACAAGGGGATCCTTTATCTCCTTTCTTTTTATTTTGGTGGCAGATGTGTTAGGTAGAATGGTGGATAGGGCTAAAGAGGCAGGCTTGTTTGGAGGTTTACATGTGGGTAAAAGTAAGGTTCCTGTGACACATTTACAGTTTGCGGATGACACTATCTTCTTCTCCTCAGGGTATGAAAGTCAAATGGTTAATCATTTTTCAGTGTTAAAATTGTTTGGGGTGATTTCGGGACTTAAGGTTAATCTGGAAAAGAGTAGTGTGGTTGGTATTAATGTAGAAAGTGATCATCTCCAGAGAGTGGTTGCGCTTCTAGAATGTGGTGTTGAGACATTCCCGATTAAATATTTGGAACTTCCATTGGGAAGTAATCCTATAAATGAGTCATTCTGGGCTCCAGTTGTGGAAAATATAGGGAAGCAGCTGGAAGGATGGAGTATGGCTTTACTTTCTCAAAACGGTAGGTTCACTTTAGTTAAGACCGTTCTAAGTGGTATTCCAATTTACTTTTTGTTTCTATTTAAGATTCCAGTTAAGGTGGCAAGATCTTTAGAAAAAATTGATGTAGGACTTCTTTGGGAGGGGAAGGATGAGAGCAAAAAAAATCATTTGGTGAATTGGGGGACAATTTTCTTTCCTAAGGAAAAGGGGTATTTGGAGATAGGTAATATAATGGCTAGGAGCACAGCTATACTTCACAAGTGGTTATGAAGATTCTCAAATGAGTGTGATTCATTATGGCATAAGGTTATTAGAAGCAAGTATGGGATTCATGTTAACGGTACAGATTCGCAAGTGGTCACCTGGGGTAATGTGCAAGCTTCTTGAAAATCAATCTCTCGTATTTATCCAATCTGGTTCCATTTCATTTCTGTGAAGGTGGGTAAAATTGTCAAATTTTGAGATGTTTGGGTGGGTTCTTCCATCATTGTGTCTTTTCCACATTTGTACAGAATCTCATAATTGCTCTATTGCTTCTATGGCATGCTCATCTTTGGCTCAAATTTCTTGAAATTTTAATTTTCCTAGAAATCTTAATCATAGGGAGGTTAGGAAATTTGGTGGATCTTTAGTCAAGGCTTGAACATGTCTCTTTGGTTTCAACTTTGGAGGACAAGTGGGTTTGGGCTGTTCTTGGGTTCCTTTTGTTGTAAATCATTTTTCGACAAACTCATTGATAAGTCTCACACACCTTTGTTCTCTTTTCACAAAAAGATATGGAGGGCTTGTGTTCCTCTTAAGGTAAAGATGTTCGTGTGGATTTTTCATAAAGGCACTTTAACAAATGATACATTGCAAAGGAGGAGGCCTTCCCATTCTCAAAGTCCTCAACGATTCATAATGTGTAGGAGGAATGGTGAATCTTTGGATCATTTATTTCTGCTTTGTCCAGTGGCAGCGAACTTGTGGCAAAGGTTGTTTTGTTTGGGGAATGTTATGTGGATGGCTCCAAAAGAAAGTCAAGTATTGAGCAGCTCGAAGAGGGCCAAGGTGCTTTGGCTTTGTGCTCTCTTTACGATTTTCTTGGTCATTTGGTTAGAGACAAATGGGCACGTCCTTGAAGACATATCTCGGGATGTTGATTTTTTATAGGATAAAGTTCAACATTTAGCATCGTTTTGGTGTCAAGGAATCCTTTATTCAAAGGAATTCCTCTTTTTTTAATTGCAGCAGATTGAGTATCAGTTTGTGATATGTAATATCTTTCTTCGTTGTGGGTTTTGCCTCCTTTTGTTGATTTTGTCATTTTTAACTTGTACTCTTTTTTAGAGGATGCCTTATCCTCCCGTCTTTTGGCTTTGTGCCTTAATAAAATCTTTGTTTGTTGTTGATCAAAAAAATTGACAAGACACATGAACACGACATGATAATATGAAATAACAAATGGATTGGATTAGAGCATCTCCAATTATTCACCAAATCTTACATCAAATTTAAATTTGATAAAAAAATTTGTAAAAAAAGGTCCAGTATCCTTTCATCAAAATTGTATTATTTTGTCTCTAGTAAAAGTCTATTTCACTATGTTCGTAGCCTAAGAAAGAAGAAAACAAAACAAAACAAAACAAAACAAAAACCGTCTGACTTCAATTTTTTGCTTTAGGCCACATATGTGATTGAGCCAACCCTAAGACGGCTTCAAGACACCACCAAAGGTGGCAACATGAGAAGAGAAGGCTTCAGACCGACAGGTGTGCTGTTAAATTTGTAAAACATAAATTTTGATTTTGAATTAAAAACATGTAGTGTGTCTTACTCAAGCGATAAAGTCGATAAAGTGGTTGTTTACGATCCTAGGTTCAAGTCCAGTTCTCCTCACCATTTAGGCCAAGTTTGGCAATCCTAAAAAAAGCTACAAAGTTAAAAAGTTACTCAAAAAGTTAAAAAGTTATCACTATTCACCAAAGTCAAAAATTACGGCTGCACAATTTCGAATCCTAATCTGGATATTTTCATAGATTTTGAAACTGGATATTTTCATTTTTGAAAAGTTTTGGGTCTGAAATGGGTTTCACTTGAGGAACCTGATATGGGTATGTTTTTATTGTTTTTGTTTTTATAAAACATGTTTCTGTATACATTTTGGATACATACTTTGATGGTTGTCATGAATTTATTTATTTATTTATGAATTAATTTAGTTATTTATTTATTTATTTATTTATCATAATCAATTTTAGGCTTCCTATTTTTTTTCAGACTCAACTCAAATAATTGAAAAAAAAAATTAAAAAATTAAAAAATTAAAGCAAAACAGTTGAAAAAAAAAAGAAAAAAAAATAAATAAATAAAAGCAAAACAGTTGAAAAAATAAATAAAAGAAAAAAAAAATAAAAGCAAAACAGTTCAAAAAAAAAATAAAAGAAAAAAAAAATTAAATCACAGAGTGAAGTCGAGATCGAAGACGAAGAAGAAGGGGAAGGGGAGAGAGTCGAACCTGCGAATCACAGAGCTGAAGTCGATCGAAGTTGAAACCTGCGAAGTTGATCGAAGTAGATCCTGCGAATCGAACCTGCGAACCCTAATCGAACCTGTGAAGTTGATCGAAGTTGATCGTAGTCGCAGAGGAAGAGGAAGACAGGAAGAGGCGACTTCGATTAGGGTTATCTGAGCCCTATTTGGCTCATATGGTCCATGAGTCGTAATCCTCTATGATTACGAGGCCTTCGATTAGGTCGATTAGGTTCATCTGAGTCGTTAGATAGGATCTACAACTTGAACACTCAGTCGCGCATAGGCAATCGCCTTGCGCCTCTCGCGCCTTGATCCAGTCGCGTCTAAGGCGCTCGCCTGGATGAAGTCGCCTCGCCTGGTACCTCAACAGGCGCAGATGGTGCGCCTCGCCTCGCCCTACGCCTAGGCGCGCGCCTAGGCGCGCCTTTGACAACACTGCAGTGGCCAACAACCACCTCTGATCACCACCTTTGTATGACTAGCAACTACATCCATCCAGCCACAATCTACAACCGTTGACAACCACCTTCAACAACCACCACATGTGTACCGAACATGTTCTTTGTTTTTGTTTTTTACAAAAAAATAAATATGAACATGTTTAATGTTATCTGCAAACAAAAAGCAATAAACTGCAACCAAACAACACCTAAGCATAAACATTGCCAAACATACCTTTAGGTAACTAATGCAAACTATAAGAAGCTAAAGAAAAATTAAATTCAAAGAAGCAATGATATTTTGAAATTGGCATAGTTTCAAAGAAAAGTTGATAGTAACCATATATAATCACTAACCGTTGGTACATGCGATGCGTGTGCAATTTGAAATAAGTAAAACTAAAACAAAAGATTCACTATATATTGTGTGCCACTCAAGCGGAAAGAGTTTTCTTCATTAAACCTAAGGTCTAAGGTTCAAGTCCCACACTCCTCCCACTATTTAATTTTTTTGTTTCAAATAGAAAAATGGACATTTGGCAACATAAGGACAAAAGGCCTAGGGCCAGCTCAAAGGGGCTGCAAATGAAGCACTTGCTTTAGGCCTCGGTATAACAAAAGGCTTCAATTTGAGTTGAAACCTTATAGGTAAAACAAAAAATAAAGAATACAGAATGTCAGTAGCTTTTCCAAACTAAAATAAGATTATCAAGTTTTCTATCAACTTCATGCATTGGCTCTACACCCATGTGAGACCGCATTCATATGTATAATTGATTAAAAAAAAATTAGTGATTTAGTAGAGATACCTATCATTTGTGTACTAGTAAAAGTCTATTTCCCACTCTCACACGCTCATAAATTAAGAAAATAAAATTTAGTTAAAATCAAATATTTCTTATGAATAATTTCATTTACCTCGCTCATATGAAATGACCACTGCAAAATAATATCAACACTTACTCAAGTTCTTGCCGAAGTGCATCAAACAGCTCCCTTTTTGTCTGCTTTTCTGCCCCCGGAGTGTTAAGAACCTTACTCTGTTCTGCCATTTTAATAGCTGTATTCTTCAGCTCTTCCTGCAAAAAAGAAAAGCACAACACTCAAACACCTTTCATGTGAAGCATTTGTTAATCTTCCAAAAATCACCTTTAGCAATTATAACTTGATCATGTGATCCTTCTTTCTGACACAGTATGAAGCGGTTAATTTGTCTTGGTCCATTAAAAATCAAAACAGCGAAAGCCTATTGAGTGACAGGAAGCTCCAACTGACAATGCATACAAGTATGGGTGGATAAAATTCCTGAATTTAATATATTAAAAGCTAATCTCCTGTGTCATTAATCAAGCAACTCACTGATTTACAACATGGATTTGGCAACTAATCAATCATGTTAGCACTAAGACGAACAGTCGAAATCTTGATGGGAACAAAATCCACAAATAAAACTTTCTGTTTTCTAATTTTGGGAGTTGGTCATCTAATATAACAGGAAAATTTTGTTCAAAACAAAACTCTTAAGCCATGTGATTAACAGAGACTAAGAATTGAATCTTTGGGTAGTCCCAAAAAGGGAAATTGAAAAGCTATATTTATCCAAGGGGGTAATCAATTCAAGTGATAGGATAGGCATTTTGGCAACATTTCAAAATTTGTGACCAATTTAGATAACTTGCTAAACAAATGCTAGGAAGGTTGGCAAAACTTTTGACAAGTTACATTAATCAGCTTGAGATAACCAATTCTAAATATAGTTAATAAAAAAGAGAATTGTTGTGTATAACTAAAAGAAATTGTGCTCGTCAATTGTGGTTTTTGGTTGCTTAGGAATTCAAATAAACCTTAAGCAAGAACTCATTCAAATCTTATGCAGCCAAAGCCATCATGGTGAATTGCCTTATAGGCTTACTTATTACCCAAAAGCAGCAGCAGCAGTCAGATTTTTCTTCTTTTCGTAAAACTGAAATTACACAAGTCAATGAGAATCTAGAATAGCACAACTATACACACTCGCAGAGGCTATTAAACAACCTCAATTAAATGTGGCAATCTAGACAAGCAGAATATTTACAAAGAAAACCTACACTGATTAAAGAGGTCATAATTTTTCATGAACACTAGTTTCCCAGCAGCAATGCAAGCACTAGAGAGATGGAAAGGTCATAATCTAATGCACTAGTCGGTAATAATGCCCTTTTAAAAGTCCTCTAAAAAGTAACATAATAAGTACTCTTTTAATGGCAGCTAAAGTCATGAAAGCGTGTCCTTATTCTTTGGTTAATTATTAAAACATGAGTACCAAAACTGAACTGTCCGCTTTCTTTGGTTCCTTCTCTAGTTTGGGTACAGGTTAGGAAATAAAGACCATTAGTGCAACACCCCAAATAATGTCATGTGCCATGACCACATCCATACTCATGTTCAAGTGCCCTAAACCAAATTAGCTACCTCATTACACAAAATGCTCAAGGTAAAATTTAGAAATGAAATAATTGGGAGAACAGACTTGAAGAGATCGTAGTTTAAGTTTTATGTAATTTATACGTACGTCATGCTTGTTTGAGTTTAGAGGACCTTGTAAATGTCCTAGCACGGGAAGAAGAACAGACTATCTTGTAGTAGATTGTACTTTTGTAAGCTTTGTATACTTGTGTAATATTGAAAAAGTTAATGAAACTATTGCACGCTTCACTTCATATAGTTACACACTACTCTGAATGAATGAACAGATGTTTCAAATGGACTAAACTAAATAAATTAAAGGCTTCCGCAAATTAAAACAAATTTTGGCCCAATTATCACAAGAGTCCAACTTGTTTTGTTTAGTCAGGCCTTTGGAAGTCTACGACTATTGTCTGGTCACCACAGTATCCGGTTTGGGGGCAAGATGGGGTCGTGACAGTTAAGTCTTGGCTTCCAAACAAGTTCGTCATGGTCATGGAATAGAACTCTTTAATGTTATTACCATAAATCCAGGAACTATTATCCATTTCAAAATTGGTTCATTAGTAGCATAATGTGCGGGTAAACGACATACAAACAAATTTATACATCTTGTTCTCAAAAAATAAAATAAAATAAATTATACATCCAAACATAAGTCAATAAATAAATAAATATAAATGTAAACATTGAGAACTAGGAATTCATGTTATCAAAGATTTCATGTGATTGTTCCTAGTATAGTATGGAATGAGTCATGAAAGATGATACTCACATTAGCTTTAATCTGATTAATGATCTTTAATCTCATGGTATCGATTGTACCATCGTTCATCAAAGACTCCAAAACATCTTCTGGAGTAATCACCGATGAAGATTCCATTTTGCTCCACCCCCAATTTAAAAATTAAATTTTTGTTTCTGATATTTCGTAACAATCTGCAATTTAAAACCAAATTCATATCGCTTCTTAGGGTTTTCAACTTTAAGAAGGAAAAAAAAAAAAAATTAGCACAAAAATCAGGGAACGATGAAATTATCTTCTTACCGTCGTCCGTGAATGGCGATCGGCCTTCCAAATTATGATGTAAATACGAGGAGCTTTACTTGACAATTCTTGGCTTTGGTTAGGGTGAGAATAATCAAATAGGGCTGTTAGATTAGCATCGATGCGTTAGGGTTTCAAAGGCAACGGTACAAAAAAAGAGAGACAAATGAGGTGAGGAGAGGAGAGAGAGAATCGCGAATTGCCAAGGCAAGAAAAGATAGAGAAAAACACGGCACATGCTCTTCTGGCTTTTTTTTTCTTTTTCCTTTTTTTTTTTTTGCGTTTGAAAATTTGCAATTACATGGAGGATGGAAAAAAGTGTACGGCTAGAGATTAAAAAATTCTATTAAAATTTTTATTAAATATTTTACATGGGGTGGAATTTACGATCTCGTCATCCCATACATATCTATATAAAATATTTGATAAAAATTTTTAAAATTTTTAATATTTTTGTAGAAAAAAATATGTCCTATAAATAAATAAAAAAAATTAGTGTAATTCTAAGAAATTATACAATAATTTTGAAATATCACATGATCATACTCTCTTATTAATTATTATTTATCTTATTTTTTTATATTTTTTAATGACTCAATACAAATAATTAATATCCTATCAAGTATATTATTATAAAATATCACGTGCTATATTCTGGGACTTCCGAAGAATTACACAAAGCACTGGAAAGACTTACAAAATGTACATAATAAAATTGCACTACCATGAAAATGTAAAATAATTTCGTATTGTCCCACTGATTTGATGTAAAATAATTTCGTACTACCGTAAAAATGTAAAATAATTTCGTACTGTCCCACTGATTTGATATATCTTTCTTTCTTTTTAGTGAATTACTAATAGACCACCTAAAGTTATCTTAAATTATGATTTGTCCCATCCCATGTAATTTTAAAAATTACACCTAATTTTATAATAAATAATTCTTTCTATTAATAAATTATCAAGTTAATTAATAATTTTTAATAATATTAAAATTTTATTTTATTTAAGAATTAAAGTAAATTTATCGTTGTATAGAATAACAACTGTTAGAATTTTTTCTTTTTCTAGTTAATTCAATTAATAAATCAAAATTTCTAACAAGGGGTATTTATTATAATTTTTTTAAATTATATAAGACAATTTATATTTTAAGTAAATTTCAATAAGTAATTTACTATTTTTTTTTAATAAATTACACTCACCTCCCTACAATTATAAAAAACAAACAATGAGGTTCATATTTTTGACATAATTACATTGACCTCCCGTGATATTTTAATTCACAAAACAGTTAATTCATTTTTATTAGTTTTATGAATAAAAAATGATATTACCATCACTTTTTCTACTAAATATATATATTTTTGTTTATTTTAGTATTCATCTACTATTTGCATTAATTTTAATCTTATTAAAATAAAAATTAGTGTAATTATATCAAAAGTGTAGAATTAACTATATTTTGTTGAAATCTCAAGGGAATGTAGTATTGGCATGTGTTTGGATGATAAATTTAGTTCAAAATTTGTAAATGAAGAAGAAAAGACAAGAAAAAAGACAAAAAAAATTTACTTATATTTTATTCATATATTCTTTTATATTAATAAGAAAAGGGCAAGAAAAATAAAGAAATAGAGAAAAAAAAATACTAATTTTTTTATTTTTTAATTTTTAAATTCCTATATAAATTTATGATCCAAACATGTATTATTTTACAATAATGTGATCTCATAACTAACTACATTGTCAATCACATAATTAGCACAAATTACACTACTCTTCTCATGTTTGGAGAAAATTCAATTAGTTTCATATTTTTTTAGATAATTACATTGACTTGGAGAATTTTTTTTAAGGTCTCTGGTATTAGGATTTTATATGATAAAAGACACGCAATATTTTCATAGTAGTTTGGGTCCCTCAATATTTTTTAAGGTCTTTGCTTTGCTCAATTTCTTTGATTTTCTCTGTGTTTTCAATTTTTCTTTGTAGTTTAAAATTTCTCTGATTTGCTCATAAATGTCTTTAAATTTGCTCACCATTTTATCTATATTTTGACCAATTTTTCATGTATTTATAAAATTTCTATACAAATATGGTCAAAGAAATTTTATTGACCGCTTCTCACAAGCATAACAACAACACCTTCTTACATAATCAAATTGACTGGAAATATACAAATCTCATTGTCAATTGCTTTGACAAGTTGGAATATACAAATCTAAAAAACAACCAAGTTGATATATATATATATATATATATATGTATATGAACATAGCCAACAACAAATGAATACTCTATTAAAAGAACAATTGTGATAGAGACCCCTACACATACATAACCCCTACAACCCCCACTCTCATCCCAATCACTCATAATGTGGGGCCCACACATACATGAGTGAACCCCACACACACATCAAGGGCCAAGATCAAATTGGGAGGTCATGAAACCCCCAAAAAAGGAGGTCCCAAACATTTCTGTTAAAAGAGTATATATATATATGAATATAGCCAACAACAAATAAATACCCTGTTAGAATAAACCATAGCACTATTTGGTTGATGGATAATGGAGTACATAGACAACTTGCCTCCCACGGATCTTGTGGAGGGGTAAATATATTGATCCAAAACCCAAGGAAATAAGTGTCTGGCCCAAAACTTTTGGCCCAGCCAAACAATCCAAAATAAGGGATAGACCTAAACTATTGTTAAGTCCATTAGATGAAGGGACAGTGTCACGTGACCAAAAGTTTGAATGAGATCGCCTTCTAGAAGGAAATCTGCAGAGCAAGAGAGAGCCCTTAGATCTATTTGTAATCAACGGAGGGAATCGCAACTGTCAGAGATGGGGGAACATACTCAGTGTATCCAAACGACACAATCGTCCGATAACCAGGATTCGACGGTCGAAGCACTTGCAAGTTGTCTATACGCATCCGAACTAATCTACGCCATTCAAAGTAAACAATCTGATGGTGACAAGTCAAGGTAGAATGACCACTTGCCCAACCAAGGTTTGATGGCATAAAGTACCATTGGATCAAGGCAGTCATCCAACGGTCCAAATGCAAGGTATTAACACTATAAAATGAGGAACCAGAAATAACAACGAGGAGGGTAAAAAAGAAAATAAACAATATAGTTCAATCTTTCTTTTTAATATATCCAAACATTGTTTTGACTTGATCGTCGGATGGTCCTCTCGACCTAATCTGGTTGGGAGTGATCACTAATGGCTTGGTGTCTTCTTGTAAAGTATAGGAATGAACAGCTTATCTCATTTTTTCTGTGAAGAACATTTCAACCTTCCATAGATCTGATACGCTTCGATAATGATCGTCGCCATACCAGTTCGAACCTGTTATGCGAAAATCTTTATTGGTTGGGCTCGAGGGGGAGGAGGTGGAGGCCGCAGTGGCCGATGATGTTAGTGACGAGGAAAATGATCTGTCCTTGAAGTTATTGTAACTGTTATTGTTGGTGTTATTTAATCTAATCTTGGTCTAGTTCAGCTTCGATCGAAGGTTGAATTTGGAATTCAAGGGTTATGTTGGATGGTTAGGGCTTCTTTCATCGGCTTGGGAGGCGAACAAGGAGGCTACGACGGGGGAGAGGAAGAGAGAGAGAGTGATATATGGGTATGGGTAAGATATAGACTCATAAACAGTGAGGGACTTTAGGCTACAAAAAAATATATATATTATAGACCTCTTGCATTATTAAAAGTTGGAGAGGCATGTTAAACTAAATACCACATTTTAATTCACATAACAATTATATCATATTTCATCATGAATTTGCTAGTCATATCAATAAAAAAAAATATTTTTGTTTATTTAAAACGGGTATTTGTTTTTATTTTATATCTACCCCACATATGCATTAGTTTCAATTTTAATTATATCAAAAGAAAGTTTAATATAATTATGTAAAAAAATATGAAATTAATTGCAATTTTTAAAAATCTTAGGTGATGTGAATATAATCAACAATTATTATTATTATTAGTTAGTTATAACCAAAAAGTTTTTTGTTTTTTATTGAGAACTTATTTTCACAATTTTCCCCACAGCTGTCTAAATCACAATTTTCCCAATAAAAAAATTTGGGACAAAAAAAAAAAAAAAAAAAAAAAAAAAAAAAAAAAATCAGCAACAAAGGAGATTTTATTTATTATAATCAAAAATCAAAAAAATTATAAGTAAACGTATGATACATGTCTTTTTTAAGGTGTGTATTATATAATTTTTTTACTTGAAATTATTTTGGATTTGTTTTATATATGCTTATTATTTTGTAAAGTTGTATTTTAAATATATTTTTTTAAATTTAAAATTATATTTTTGACTTCAATTACTTTATTAAGAACATCTGTAACAATATTGGAAATTTATCTATAATTCCCATCTTGAGGAATGGTGATCTGTTTAGTTTCAAGAATTTTTTTATAAACCAATTAGTCTCATTGATGTTGGAAAGGTAGATTTAATATATTATTTGGAAATTGGGTTTACAATTATATTATTATTTCTATTATGTTTGCTTTTTCTATTTAATTTTTATTTTTTGTGATAGAAAGGTAAGATACACAATTTATGAGAATCAAATTTAGGATGTATTTTTATATGAAAATCTTTTTTATTTGGAATAACTTAAAATGTGAGATTCTTCAAACATTCCAAAATGAGTATAAAACTGACTTGAAATATAAGATTTTTCAAACATTCCAAAAGGATGTGAGATTCTTCAAGCATTTCAAAAAGAGTACAAAAACTCCTTAGTATTTAGAAAATAAAAATATGTAGAAATAGAAATTTATTAAAAAAATTAAATATAAATATGTTATAGTTGGATTATCATATAATAGTTTTATATGATATATATATATATATATATTAAATTATAAGATTGTAAAATAAACACTCTTACTTAGATTAAAATATCAATTATATAAAAGAAATTCAACAGCGACTAACTAAGAAAGAATCACATAACAACATCTAAACCCAAAAAGTAAAAATAATGAAAACATTCAAATCACAGATACATCTTAGTGTGTGACGTGATTAATCATCTGTAATATGATGTCAAAACATAAAAGAATTTACTGTTCAACAATTAAAAAAGTAATTCAAGCAATAAATTTAAACTTT